GAGTCCTCCAACTTTATTCTCCTTTTTCAAAATTGTTTTGGTTATCCTGGGTCCCTTGAAATTCCATATGAGTTTTAATACCAGTTTTTCAATTTTCTGCAGACACCGGGTGAGACTTTGATATGTATTGTGTTGAATCTGAATTAATCGGAGGAGTATTGCTATATTAGCACCATTAAATCTTCCAATCCATGAATAGGAGAGGTTTTTCTATTTAGTTCTTCTTTACTTTCTTTCAGTAATGCTTTGCAGTTTTCATTGTATAAGATTGCACTTCTTTTGTTAAATTTATTCCTGTGTATTCTTTCTGTTCCTATTTAAATGTTATTGTTTTCTTAATTTAACTCTCAGATCGTTCATTACTAGTATATAGAAACATGATTGATTTTTATATCCTGCAACATTGCTGAACTTATTTATTCATTATGACAGGTTTATTTTTGGGGGGATTCCGTATGATTTCCTGTATATCACATTATATAATCTGTGACTAGAGATAGTTTTACTTCTTTCTGATGCAATGTCTTTTATTTCTTTTTCTTGTGCAATTGCTCTGGCTAGAACCTTCAGTATAAGGTTGAATAGAAGTGATGAAAGGGAATATGCTTGTCTTGTTCTTGATTGTAGGATGAAAGCCTTCAGTCTTTCACCATTAAATATGGTATTAACTATGGATTTTTTATAAATGTTCATTATTATTTGGAGAAAAATTCCCTTCTATTTCTAGTTTGTTTAGTATTTTTGTTTTTAATCATGAAAGGGTGTTGGATTTTGCAAATGCTTTTTCTGTGCCTGTTGAGATGATCATCTGGGATTTTGTAACCTTACTTCACTAATATGGTGTAACTTACGTGGACTGATTTTCATATGTGAAGCAACCTTCCATTCCTGGAATCACATCTGGTAAGGTGGACAATTGGTTTTTAATATGTTGCTGGATTTGGTTTGCTAGTATTTTATTGAGGATTTCTATATTTCTGTTATTTAGAAGGGTTTGTAAAAGATTGATGTTAGTTATTTTTTAAATGTTTGGTACAATTCACCAGTGAAGCCATCTAGTCCTGAGGTTTTTTGTTTGTTTGTTTGTTTTGTTTTGTTTTGTTTTTTCCCCATGTGGGAAGTTTTCAGGATTGCATGAAATTATTCATTAAATCTTTTTCTTGTTATAGGTCTTCTCAGATTTTCTGTTTCTTCTTGAGTCAGTTTCTGTAGCTCGTGCCTTTCTAGGACTTTGTCCATGTCATCAGGTTATGTAATTTATTGGCATACAATTGTTCATAATATTCCCTTTAATTCTTATTTCTGTAGGACTGGTAGTAATATTTCTTTCATCCATGATTTTAATAATTTTAATCTATTTTTTTCTATTTTAACTTTTTGCAACGCAAATGTGTTCTTGTATAACGTATAATTTTAAAAATGAAAAAAATGGAAGGCACAAGATTAAAATGCATATTAAAGATGTGGGTATATTGCTGACTCCTTGGCTGTCTCTGTGGGTATCAGTTTCTTTATTACGACATTGAGAGGATGGATTACTGTTGCTAAAGGTTTTGAAAGCCTTTGGACTATAGTATTTCTGTGTTTGAGCACGGGATTAAAGAACATAGATGGGAGTATTTGTGGATGGAAAATAGACCAGTCTGGGAGGAGCCCAATACTCCTGAAGGAAGTAGTAGGAAGTAAGAGTGGAAATACAGATTGGAGTCAAATTATGGTAATATTTGAATGTCAGGGTGAGGGATTTGGACTTGCTTTATAATCAGTGGAGAGCTATTAAGGATTTTGGGTTGATGGGATTAGCCAATCAATGTCATAGTCAAGGAAATTGGTCTAATAGTGGTATGTGGGAAGGGTAAAAGCTAGAGGATCACCCAGGGACTTGTTCAGGTATAAAACTATGAGAGCAATGACAGTGAAAATAGAAAAGGGAGCAATAAAGACCAGAGATTGTCTTCAGTTTGGAAAGCACTCCATGGTTTAGAAGGAGGAGGGAGGAGTGAGTTGTCTTGCTCATCTGCATGTCCTTCACAGTTAGTGGTTAGGCACAGAATAGGTCCAAAGTAAGTATTTGTTAAATTGAACTGCATTAATCAGCCTTGCTTCAAAGTTCAATGAAGGCTGGGGAAACCAGCCTTTAAGTACTCTAAGAGGACTTCCAGGACAGCCTTTCAACCTGGCAGGTTCTAGGCATTGTCCATCTTCTTACTTGTCACCCAGGCGTCTATATGTGCTAATTGCAGCATTAATGAAGAAAAGGTACACATTAGCCTTCACAGATTGTTGGGCAGGGTTGATAAAGGCTCTCTTGTCTGATATTTCAACCAGGGCAGATAAGCTTATGGGCTGACCTGTGTCAGTGCACTCTGACATACATGCAGACAAAGACCTTCCTCTGCACAGAACAGGGAAGCTCTCAAGAGCAGAGAACTTAGAGGTTAGACCAGAAAGTCTTATCATTAGGCCCAGGGGATGTTTTGTGGGAACTTGGGATCAGGAGAAAAACAGTTAGGCCTTATGTGCCACCTTGTTCTAGGCTAAGAAACATCTTCCCTCAAATGTCAGCTCTATAAAGGGCAGTGATTTCTTTTATATTTGCTGTTGTATCCCTAATATCTGGCACATTATCGACACTTAGCATAGATTTAATGAATGAATGAATCTGTTAGTAGTTCTTTGCAGTGAAAGCAGCATCTTAACCTAAGGAATGGGCTTCTGGGGTTGTTGCAGTAGAGTAGATGAAGATGTCTTCTCCGAAGCTCCTTATGAAGGACCCTGCTACACAGGCCTTTAGTTATAACCAGAAGGGACTTCTCTACCAAATTCTTTATAAGGAATCTGTTTTCACTTGGCTGCAGTTGCCTTCGTCTTTTCTTATTGTTATTTGGAACGACAGTGTCATGGTGTATAGCTTGAACCTAAATGTGGTTCTGTTTCTGCCTTTGCATCTGCTCCCCCTTCCTTCATATCCTGTCTTCCTTCCCACTAGAATTGTTCAAAATTTTCATCTTATTCCAGCTATCCAAAAGCCAACATTTGGACCTGACTTTTCTTAAACTCCTAAGAAGAAAATAAATGATTCTTATTCTTTAAAGGCCTGCCTATGTTACCCTTTCCATAGCAGGGCTTAGCTTGCTTTGTGAGAAGCAGGGAAAAGCTAATGGATTATTAAGAGGGTGAGGTTTTCATTGTTACAAGTAGACAGCATCATGTATATGAGATGTTTGTTTCAGTGCCTTAAATCACTTTTTTTTTGCCCAGGTTCATTCTTTTGAATAATTATCTCTCATATTGCCTGTTGATTGCATTAAAGGACAGCTATTAGCATATTGAAGACACAAAGCTGACCTTTTAGAAGCTGGAAAGAGATTTATAATGGAGCACTTGCAGAGGGTGATAGGTTTTGGATAGAGATACATTTTGCAAATTTGGCTGTGTATACAAAATACATAAAAACAGAGTGAGCTCTATTTACTTTGGCCTGTGACAATTTAGTGAGATATATGCTGGTGACATCTCTAAGTTCACTGAGTGGTAATCATGCCCCCTCACCTCCTATGAGAGAAAGAAAGAGGAAAGAATATACAGAGTTGGGAAGTAACTACCGTCCTTCTAGTTCTATCCCAAAGCCTCTTCCTCCCGAATGATTACCCACTAAAAGGCTTTTCTGATGGCAGAAATAGGGATGCATCTAAACTGTGTGATCTCAGCTTCTTGAGGCAGGAATGTGGAAAAAGCTGGGGTTTAAGGAAGGAAAATATGGAAAATATCGAGAATTGATTAAACCTGTTGAGACAACTGGCAAGCTCTTTGCTTATTACCCCTGACAAATTTTGTCACTCTGCCAAGTGGGCCCACCCTTCTTTTGCTTCCTGCCCCCATGGTTTCCGCAATTCCTAGGACTGTGGGGGGTGGTGGGAAGGTCCATCTTCTTGGGCCATTTTCTTGATTTTCCGTCAAAGTCATCTGGAAGATCCAGAGACATCTCACTCGGCCATCCCAAAGGTTTTTTTTTTTTTTTTTTTTTTTTTTTTTTTTAGCTTCCCACTGCCTTCATGATTTAGAATGAACAGTCTCAACTGTTACCGAATTCATCAGTTTCTGATGATTCTAATAATTGTCTGTCCACCTTGGCCCAAGCCCTTTCCTTTTCTTTTCCTGTCTTCCTTAGAATCAGGGGCACAAAGATTCTAGCACAGTGTTTAAGAGCACATGTACCCTAGAAGTTAAAGTATAATAAAAAAGAAAAAAAAGAGCATAGGCTCTAGAGACAGACAGACTGGCTCCTATCCCAGCTCCTCTGATTCCTGTGTGACTTGGGATAGATTACTTAACTTCTCTGAGCCTCAGTCTCCTCTTCTGTGAAATGGTAGTAATAGTGGTACCTATCTAGCAGGGCTGAATACAGTATATTGCAGGCTCTTAACACAGTGAATGGTGTATAGTTGGTGCCAATTAATAGCTATTGCTAGTATGTGGTGGGTAAATATTCTCCCATCCCCATCCCAATCTTGAAGAGGTAGAGATCTTTGCATGTTCAAGGCATTTTACAGTCAAATTTTGATGATTATTTTTATGTCCTATCGCAGAAATCAGCACTGAACTTTGTTTTCAAGACACCCATTCTAGTATTTAACTTTGGTCTCTATACTTGCAGGTGCATAAATGCTGTGTTTTGTCAGCAATCCAGCTGTGGCACTCAAGATGTATAGCTTAACCTTTTAAAAAATCCAGTTGTGCTACCTAGATGTGCTCCAGCGTGAATGAATGTAGTCCCTCCACTCTATTTAAAGATAGGTCACCAGAGACCTAGAGAAGATTAAACCCATGCCCAGGGCAAAAAGTCACCCTAGAGCCAGGTTTGGAATTCTACTTGCAGAGGTCTCTGGTTGAAGGTTCTCTGAATACCTGAGAAGTTCAGTTTATCCTTTTTTTACTTGTCTGGAAACCTCTCAAAGAAGGAAGCTAACTCATTATTTTTCTTTTGCCTGCATCCACAGCTTTGGGTGAACCAGGAGGATGAGGTGGAGGAGGGGCCCAGTGATGTGCAGAATGGACACCTGGACCCCAATTCAGACTGCCTCTGTCTGGGGCGGCCACTACAGAACCGGGACCAGATGCGGGCCAACGTCATCAATGAGATAATGAGCACTGAACGTCACTACATCAAGCACCTCAAGGATATTTGTGAGGTAACCATGGTGGTTCATGTGGAGGCACTTCATGAAGAACCAACAAGCCTCCTGGGCCCCGCCTGTGACAGTCCCAAAATGTTGGAAAGGGCACGTAGCCTCCCACATTCTGTTCAGTGAGGTGAAACTGCTTCCTTAGCGTTTCTCAATCTCTGTTTTTCACATTTTCTCTCTAATATTAATTCATTTATATTCATTGTCTCTCTCCCTTTACCCTTTCTTTGTGTCTTCCTCCTTCTCTCCCCTGCGTCTCTACCTTTATCTTCTTGGTATCTGATCCAGTTACAGCCATCTCATGTAAGGGCTTAACCTCACTCATTAAAGCAAAATGCATCTCCCGCCAAGCCAGTGATTCACAGACTTTAACATGTACCAGAGTTTCTGGGGGAGCTTGTTAAGCAGCCCTCTCACTCTTGTCCCCCACATCATGAATTATCAGTCTCAGGTAAGGCATGAGCATGTTTAGGTTTAATGAGCATCCCTGGTGATGCTGATGCTGCTGGTCTTAACTGTCTCACCTGGAGAACACTGGTTGTGAGTTTAAGCAGAAAAGAGCTTGGAGACAGGAATCTACAGAAGATAAAGGCTGGATGGACAAACCTGGGCTCCTTCAGTATCTCACTTTTTTCCCCAGGAACTGTCTCTCTACATTCCCTAACTGCATTCCTTCCATCTCTCTGTCCTAAATGAAGATGAGAGCCTTTACTCTCGTACTCTCTTAAGCTTAGTAGATGCAAATTGGCATTTTCAAAGGGCAATTTACTGAACAGGAAGGGAAAACCAATGGGAAATGAAGGCAGCGTTTTAAAAGGATTAAACACACACACACACACACACACACACACACACACACACACACACACACACACACTCTTGTATCTTTTTTCTTGACTCAGGGAAAACTCTGCATTGAATCTTTTTGTCTCCTTCCTTCCAGAGGAGGGGTTAGGTTCTATTTTCTGTCCCCTAGCCTAGGGTCCACTGTGGAGTCAGTAGTACAGCTGCAACATTTTTCAAAGTTCTTATTTCTCTACATCTGTACTGCCCAATGGAACTTCCTGCAATGATGAAAATGTTCCATGTCTGCGTTCTCCAATATAGTAGCTATGAGCCAACAATTTGTGGCTTTTGAAGAGTTAAAATGTGGCTGGTATGACTGAGAAATGGAATTTTAAATTGTATTTACATTTAATTAGCTTTAATTTAGGTAACCATGTGTCTGTAATGACAGCCACATTGGACAGTATAGCTCTGGAAGCACCAAGGCCAAGGATTTTGTACCTGAACTTTCTTTATCTCAACTCATTTTCTCACCCCTTTCAGGAAGATTAAAAGTTATCTTTTCCCACCGCCCCACTCCCTGCCCTGCCATGAGGCAGCAAGATAGAGTAGAAAGAACAAGAGGTCTGGGGACATGAAATGCTGGTTTTTCACATTCTAACTTGGTCATTAATTAACCCTGTGGGCTTGAAGATAGCCCTTAACTCCTCTGACATTCAATTTTCTTATTTTTCCAATGGGTTTCATTATAACAATTTCTTACGTTTGTTGAGGAAATTAAGTAAATAGAATATTGCAATAACATATGTTGTATTTGGAAAAAGGTAATTTTCTTTTTTGCCCCCTTTTTAAATTTATTCACCCATCCATCCAGATGCCCTTCTTTCCTTCCTTCTCCCTTCACATCAATGGCTGGTGCTAAAAAAAATTCCCCCTTGGAATGTGCTACATGGCATTCAGCATCAAACCACTGACATTTCATTCATTCAGCAAACTTTTAGTGGAATTCTATTCTGTGCCAGGCCTGGACATAACTTCTTGTCTCAAAGTGTTATACTTTAGAGCAGCATCTGCATCACCTGGGAACTTGTTATAAATGCAAAATCTTTGGCTCCAACCCAGACTTACTGAATCAGAGTATGCATTTTAACAAAGTTACTATTTGATGTATAATACATATTAAAGTTTGAGGAGCATTGCTCCAAAATGATACCTATATTACAATGTCATAGTGTTTTTCATAAAATTAAGTACAGTCTATTCTTCACTTGGTAGCTGAGGGATGCTGTCAAGATCTAAGTCAGGTCATATCACTCCTCTGCTCAGAACCTTCCAGTGACTCACCATTTCTACCTGAGTAAAAGCCAAAGTTATTATTGTTTACGAGGGCCTGTGTGGTCAACCCATCCTTGCCTCTATGACTTTCACCTCCTGCTCCTTTCTGCTATGCTTTCTTTACTACTACAGCTATACTGGCCTCTTGCTTTTCCTTCAGCATTACTAAAATGCTTCTCCCTTAGAGCCTTTGCACTGGTTTTTCCCTCTGCTTAAAGCATTTCCCTCCCCACCCCACATTTACATGGCTCCCATCCTCAACTCCTTCAAGTCTTTGCTCAAGTATCTTCTTGAGACTTCTGTAAGCATTCTATTTAAATCTGTAACCTTGCACTACCTCTGCCCCTTTCCTGCTTTATTTCTATCTGTTACATTTATCTGTCTGACATTATATATTTAACTTATATATTTTGTTTATTGTCTGTCTCCTCTACTGGAATGTACTTTCCATGAAAGGCAGGGGTTTTCATCTATTGATTTACTGATATATTCCCCCAGCACAGTGCCTGGTACATACTAGATGCTTGATAAATATTGCTTAAAGTCAAAATTAAATATAATTGCTCATATGTATGTACTGCTTTGATTGGCAAAGTACATTCACATCATATGTCATTTGATCTTCAAAGAGGACAAAAGTTGTTATTGTTATTCCTATTTTCTAGATCAATAGATTGGGTCTCTAAGAAGCAAATTTATTTTCCCAGAGCTCTTAGGTACTAGCCCAGTGGAAGTCCTTAGAAGACTCTCCCAACTCCCACACATCTTGGCCTCCTCCTATGGGACACAGGCTCAGGACAGCAATGGAAGATATTTGTCTTTCCAGAAAGTGGGGGGTGATATGATCCTGCTTTAAGGAGTTTTCCAATCCAGCCAACCCAATCAAACCTTTTGTTGACAATTTGTTGGTTCCTTTTTTTTCAACGATTATTGGTGCTGAAGTTAAGTATTTAAATGGGAGCCATTTCTTTGTCTCACCCTATAATCACAGGCATCAAAAGGGAGGTGGAGAAAGCTGTGTCTAGCTGGATCAGAAGACAGTAGTTTAGCCCAGGATCGTGTAATCTTTAAACCAAAAGCTGTGAGGAGCGAATGATTTATCAGAAAGAATACCAGACTCAGAATTGGGAGTGCTGGGTTCAGGACCTACCTTGGTCACTAACTGACTGGGGAATCTCAGATGAGTCTTTTCCACCCTAGGCCTTGTCCCCCATCTCTAAATTGCATAGGTTGGAGGAGCTCTTTAAGTTCTGTCTGGCTCTTACTTTTTCTCTAGTTCTGTAAGATGTAGATATGCCCTCACTAGAGAAAAACTGTGATAGTGAGCCAGGCTACTTCTGCATTTTCTGCCTCTTCCTTCTTGGTACCCTTGCAAGCATGTCCTACTCAAGCACGAATGTGTTCATAAACCACTCTTTCTGTAGGTTATGGGAGAGCTCTAAACACTTCCTACTCTTGTACTTGTTGAAGGGGAAAGGGGGAAAATTATATTCAATATAAAAAAAAGTCACACTATTTATTAGAGGACATTCTTTTTCCCTCCTGGGAGCAGAAAGTGCTTTACAAACATTTAAGTTACAATACCTTTATATTACAAATGAAGAAGTGGGAAATAAAGTGATTTTTAATTGAAGTCATTCAATGAGGTCAGTAAGAGACATAATCTTTTCAAATGAGTTCTCTGCAGATTACATTCTTCTTTCTAAACCCAGACAGTGGTATAAAATACCTTCAGTTTAGTTCTCGATCACCTTGACCAACAATTGGTGATATTGCCTTTTGTAACCTTAGAACTCAAAGTACAATCAAGGAAACCGAGGCAACAGTAAGCAGAGCTAAAGATGCTTTATAAAGCTGTCTTGTCTGTCTTCTCTTGAGGAAGATAATCTCAGCCATCTGATAACTATGAAATACATTCTGTCTTCAAATGCCTCCAGAGAAGCTGGCCTACCTTTCTTCACTCATCTGTATTAGTGATCATACCATTTCACTATCAAGAAATTCTTCTTTAGGCATGCTGTAGCTTCAAGTCATTTCCATTTGGTATCTTAAGCCTAGGGTCTTCAAATGTATTAGCCATTTGGATTTTCCTTTCTGCAGATTGCCTATCTCAATACATCCCAATAGCCTTTACATCTTGGCACATAGAAAATGATAACACATGTGTAAAATAGTAATATTTGTACAGCATGCTAGGGTAAAAATATGAGTCAGCTAGTCAGCCTAAAACACCAAGCCCAGGGAGGGGCTTCTGCCTGCCATAGGCCCTACCTGTCCATTCCATCTGGACATTCTTTGCCCTGTTCCTATTATTTGCCCATTTTCATGGAGTTTCTTATGTTTTTTCTTGCTGATTTATAAGAGTTCCTTGTATAATCTAGATATGAACTCCTTGTCAGCTTTCCATGTTGCAAGTATCTTCTTCATTCTCTTGTTTTTTAATATCTTTTTTATTTCATTTGAAGAAAGGGTTTCCTATCTCAAAGAGGGGAAAAAGGAAATAAAAGAAAACCACCAATTTGAACATGCTGCTTCTAACTTACCTTTGATCATCACCAGTATGGGAAGAACTAATTAGCATTTAGTTGACAAATAACTGAGCAGCAACTATATGCCAGGTATTCTGTTAAACTTTGACGATATAGCTGTGAATAACAACTATGGTCATTGTCTCCTAATTTTCTTAAAAAAATCTTCAAGATGGTTGTCAGATCTCCCATCAGGCCTCAGTTTCCAGGCAAAAAAAAGACATATGAAACTCCTAGAATGTCAGAACTGAAAGGATCCATGGAAATCTTTTTCGATGTCTTCATTTTAGAGACAGAGACACTGAGGTCTAAACTTTTTGTGAGGACCTTCCCTAAAGAATTTCCTAAACCCCAGGTGATCCAGGGGCTCATTGGTTCATCCTATTTCCTGGTAGTTTCTAGGATCTTTTCTGGAGATCTTGGGTATTGTTTATATCCCATATCAAGGCATTACTTCTAGATCAATGCACTAGGTCTCAACTCGTACATCAGCCCTGGTGGGTTTAAGAACAAAGTGAAATAGATGGGCAGCTTTCCTCGCTGTTACCATAACAATGCCAGGGCTAATTTATGCCAATTGTGACTGATTTGATAATACCCACATTTATCTTAGCTACTCTGTGGCCTGCCTGCCCACCCATGCCCACTTTACTCCTAGGAGACAGAGTTTAGGCTCTAGGAAACTGCCTCCCTTGAGCCATAGTACCCTGTTCCCTGTTACCATTCAGATGGGGTCAAAGAGTGTTCAAAGCATACCTGGCAGTAAGAGCCACAGACCCCTTTTGTTCCCCCTGCCCTGTGACAGGCCTTCAGTGGGCCCTGAGACTTATCTAGGATAAACAAATTTTATTTCTTCCATTATTCTTCATTATGTTGCTTTTCAGGCACCTCCCTACCCTGCTCACTCCCCTCTGGCTGTGTGCTATTTTCTTGGTGTTCCTCTGAAAAGAGGGTGGACTCAGAATTTAATTCTGCTCTCCTGCAGTGGTATGACTACCTTCCAATTACCTCTCTCATTTTTGGCTCGAAATGTATTTCTTCTTTTTTCTAACTGAAAATGGTATTAGGCTTTTTGGCAATCACATTTCACTGCCAACTCATCTTAAACTTACATACCTTTAAAAATGAGTGAATGAGAGGAGACAAGTATTAATTGACCCCCTAAGTCTACCCTCTGTTCAGCACTGATGTGGAAAATTTGATAGCCTTCAGGCCAGCCAAAAGAAGGGGATAAAAAAGGCAAGACTACAGGGAGCTAATCATTTCTCCTGGCCTTTCTTTTTTCCAAAAGCTTGTGTGATATAGAGGTCGAGGGTGACATTTTGGGGTTATCCAGCTACTCCCATATTCTTATGTCTCATCGCTTATTTTTTGATAAGAGCAGTTTACATCTATTATTTGTAATCTTTAGCAAAAGTGAGTAATCTTAGACACTAGGGCTGCAGGAGATCTTAAGAAGACATTGGGTCTTCCCTCTTCTTTCCTTGATAATATTTCATTCCAGGCAACCTTCTTATAGCTGCATTTTCTTTTCTTTACACTCTCTGGCAAAGACTTTTATCCCATTTTTGATCATGAAGACAATTAAAAAACAGCATTAGAGAAAGTTTAAAAATAGGAACAAAAATCAGCCAGAATCCATCAACTATAGCAGAATTATTTGCACTTTTGCATAATCTCTTCAAATCTGTCCATATGTATATATATTTACAGAGTTGTAATCACACTGATCTACCATTTTATGTTCTACTTGTTAACATTGTATCATAAACAATTTTCCATGTTTCTACATGGTCTTCCTAATTATCATTTTAACTGCTATGTAATATTTCATCAAGCTAAATGTACCAGAATATATTTATAGTCTATCATTGGCTTTAAAAATAAGAGTTGATAAAACATTCTAGGTTCCTACCATCCTGTGGACATTCTTCCTGATATATCCCCTACCATAACATACAAAATATAACAGAAAGAAAATTATTTCCTTGACAGTGGCAATAAATAATATATTTAGGGACTTAGGAAGTTGGACTGAAATCTTCATTAATTCTCTTTTCCTAAGACCACTCTCTTATTTTTATTTCTGTTATATTTTATGCTGATGTTGACTTCTAGTATCCTTGTTGAATTTTGGCGATTTTATGGTGTTTTGTTTTTCCCCTGAGACTTTTCAAATAGGAGCAGCGGATAGGACTATTAAATATTTTCTGAACTGGCTTCTCAGGAGATAAATGAGCTATCTAGGCTGGGCTCTTCTGTCTCCCATTGTGGTCACTCATCAGTACCTATTACTTACCCAGAAGTAATATATTGAATGTGCCACTGTTACTGTTTTCCCCCAGCTGTGCTCCTTGGCCTGCCTTGGGGAAAAAAGTGGGAGAAGGGGTAAGGAAGCCTCCACTCCCATTTAATGTTGAGATGATATGCTCACTGCTCTCCCTGTTCCATTGTAGCTAAGAAATGTCCAGAGATGGTAGGGTGAAAGAGACAGATAGACAGGCACACAGGCACAGACCAACTCAGACATACTAGGCTCTGGGAATTACATATTAGTCAGGGAAGGGCCTACAGGGGTTTATTGCCGTTCCTTCTGGTAGTCAATGTAAAGCTTTCTAGGGAGGCAGAATTTGGGGAGCAACCTCTGTAAAGGTAGTGGAGCCAAAAGGGTGTTCTGGGAATTTTCTTCCTAATCAAAAATTGCATATGAAAGAATGCAGGAAATTTTCAACTTGTCAGTCAATGAGGGTACAAATCATTAGTTAAACAGATGTCAACATAGGGATAGACTATTAATTTGCCTACTGTTTAAAGACACCTACTAATTAATGGCTAAATTGGAGACTGAGAACAGATATGGGAAGTGAGGTTTGTTGTAGGGGTCAGTAAAAGGCATTGAAGCCAGGGATGAGGATCTTCCTAGAGTGTGCCCAGATTGCCTCATTGGTAGCTGTGTTAAGGGAGACAAAGTGAGGATAGGGACAGGGCTATATGTGGTAAATCAGTCCCTGTAAAACTCTTCCTTGGAGTCTCAACCCTTAAGAAAGGTATTAAGATAATTTCACTTAGCTGTTTGATGAAAGCAAATGACCATAATTTATCCTCACCAAGAACATTTTTATGTGCTACTGATTTCTAATGAGGACAGTAACTATCAAGTGAAAACCCATAATAGTAGGTTCCAAATGGAAGATGCAATTTAGATCAGGGCTGTTTTTCTCCTGACTTACATTATGCCCTGAGTCTTTATGTTACCCCAATGCTTTCTTACTAGACCAAGAATCTCTTTCATCCTTCTTTTCTCTTTCATCAGTGGTTATCTTTATTAATGTGTTTTATGTGTTTAGGGCACATTTATGTGTTTAGGACATATGTGTTAGGACACATTAATGTGTTTAGGACACATTTATTTACAAATGTGTCCTAAACACCTGCTGTGTTAGAAACACCATGTCCAGGCACGCATAGGCTTGTTGGCTGAGCTCATCTAAATGATCACTCCTGGCCAGCTACCTTAGATAGTTGAGACATTTGCTTTGAGAAATGGTTTGGCAGATATTTGCATGATGTGAATAGTATGAATGCATTTTCTTAAAGTATGTGAAGACATGAATGTCTAAGAAAAGATCGTATGTGTACTTTGATGTACACAACAGGGAAAGTCTTAAATGATAAACAACTATTATTCCTGGTTATTTCCTGACATTAAAGTTCGTAAGGGAATTTTTTCTTTTTAAAGAAATGGTTTTGTCTTGTCAATTTATGTTCTCTTATGGGAAGTTTTCCTATTCTGGCCTCTGTTCCCAAATTTTTGTCAATGTTATTAAGACCTTTGGGTTGGTCTTATAAGGAATAGAACTTTAGAGATGTGAATGGATCCAGCTAAACCAGTAGCTAATAAGACCTGTGAAAATGTGGTCAGCCAGCTTCTTGGAAAGGGATATTTGACTTTTGGGGTCTTCTTCATAGAGAATGAAGGGAAAAGCCCTGTACTTTGGAGTCTTTGCACTCTTAAGACCTTTGCTGGCAATCCAGCTTTCCTAATTACTCACTGGGGGAGTGACTTCCTTCTGTAAACCTCAGTTTCCTCATATGAAAAATGAAAATAATTATTCCATGCCTACTTCTTGGGACCAAAATGAGGCTCTTAAGTGCTTAGGAAGTGTAAAGCCTTCTGTAAGTCAGGGACTTCCTCAACCTAGGGTTTTTCTGTGTCTGCAGGGCTATCTGAAGCAGTGCCGGAAGAGAAGGGACATGTTCAGTGACGAGCAACTGAAGGTAATCTTTGGGAACATTGAAGATATCTACAGATTTCAGATGGGCTTTGTGAGAGACCTGGAGAAACAGTATAACAATGATGACCCCCACCTCAGCGAGATAGGACCCTGCTTCCTAGAGCACGTAAGTATCTTATCTATTTGGGGAGGGTTTTGAGAGGTGTTAGGAAACAATGGAAGGAGCGTTTGAACTGTCTGGTTCTGTTCAGCTGCTTTGTCCCTGCAGTGGGGAATGGGTTCCTCTCGGGCCCTTATTTTGACCCCTGGTCTCCAGCCAGGAAACAGGGACTTAGAAAAGTGCTGTGATTTGCCCTATAAATGTTAAGCATGTGTATGACCTGCTGGTTCCATTCCCGAATGTATATTCCAGAGAAACTCTCACAGAAGTCCACAAGGGAGCACATACAAGGCTGTTGTTGATTGCGTGGCAGTGTCGTATGTGGTGGAGTACCATTAGAAGCAACCTAGGATTCTCCTTCTTTACCATTCCCCTCCCCTCTCCCTTTCCTTCTTGGCAGTTACCAGTAGAATTTTTCTTCATCTTCCCTTTTCTGTTTCTGTTAAGTTTCCGTGAGACTCAGTATTTTTTGAGGAACTCAAAATATTCACAGTGTGTTATCTCTTTTAATGTATTATTTTTCCTTTTAAAGAATTAATTGTTTACCCTTTTATTAGTTCTAGAGTTTCATTTTTATCAGCTTTACTTAGATATAATTTACATACAATAAGATTCATTCATTTTAAGTGATTTTAAGTGTATACTTTAAGGAGTTTTAACAAATGCATATAGTTGTATAACCACCATAATAATCAAAATATAGGACATTTCTATAACTCCATAAAGTCCTCTTATCTTGACATTGCAAACAATCTGTGCCCCTACTCCTGGCTACTGGAAAATATTGATCTCCTTTTTATCTGAAATTTTACTTTTTCTAGAATGTCATATATGTGAAATCATACAGTATATAATCTTTTGTGTTTAGCTTCTTTCATTTAACATAATGCCTTTGATATCCATCCATGTTGTTGCATATATCATTAGTTTATCCTTTTTTATTGCTTAGTAGCACTCCATTGCAAGGATACGCCACCTATTCACCAATTAATGGATATCTGGGTTGTTTCCAGTTTTGAACTCTAATGCATAAAGCTGCTATGAACATTCTAGGTACAATATTTTTTTGAGGATATATGTTTTCGTTTTTCTTGGATAAGGGCTTCCAGGGTTAGGGTTGCTAGGTGGCATGGTAGATTTTTTAACTTATTAGATAATGCCAAACTATTTTCCAAAGTCTCTATACCATTTTTCATTTTCACTACTAATACATAATACATAAGAGTTCTAGTTACTCCACATGGTCATCAACACTTGATATTATCAGTTTTGTTTTTTTTTTTTTTTTTGGAGACAGAGTCTTGCTTTGTTACCCAGGCACCCAGGCTGGAGTGCGGTGGTGCAATCTTGGCTTGTGGCAACTTCTGCCTCCCAGGTTCAAGCAATTCTCCTGCCTCACTGTCCCAAGTAGCTGGGATTACAGGCATGTGCCATTATACCCAGCTAATTTTTGTCTTTTTAGTGGAGACGGGGTGTCACCATGTTGGCCAGACTGGTCTCAAATTCCTTACCTCAAGTGATCTTCCTGCCTTGGCCTCCCAAAATGCTGACTGTGATTACAAGCGTGAGCCATCGTGCCCAGCCAGTCACTAATTTTTTTTTTTTATTTTAGCCATTCTAACATGTAGGTGTGTAGTGGTATCTCATTGTAATTTTAATTTGCATTTCCAATGGATAGTGATGTTGAGCATTTTTTTCATGTGTTTATTTGCCATCTGTATAAAAACTGGTGAAGTGTCTGTTCATGTATTTTTCCCATTTTAAGTGTATTGTTTGTTTTCTTATTGTTTTGAGAGTTCTTTTTTCTTAAAAATTAATACATAATACTTTCACATATTTATGGGGTACATGTAGTGTTTTTTTTTTTTTTTTGAGATGGAGTCTCACTCTGTGACCCAGGCTGGAGTGCAGTGGCGCTATCTTGGCTCACTGCAACTTCCACCTCCCGGGTTCCAGCAATTCTCCTGCCTCAGCTTCCCAAGTAGCTGGGATTATAGGCGTGTGCCACCATGCCGGCTAATTTTTGCATTTTTTTTTTAGTAGAGATGGGGTTTCACCATGTTAGCTAGGCTGATCTTAAACTCCTGACCTCGTGATCCGTCCGCCTTGGCCTCCCAAAGTGCTGGGACTACATGTGGCATTTTGATACATAAATACAATGTATAATGATTATATCGGGGTAATTGGGATAGCCAGCATCTCAAACATTTAACATTTATTTGTGTTGGGGACATTCCAAATCTTGTAGCTATTTTGAAACAAGCAATTAATTATTGTTAACTATAATTGTTTTTATAATTATAACTATTTTGAAATATATAACTAATTATTGTTAACTGCTCTGATATCAACCACTAGAACTTATTTCTTCTATATAACTATAGTTTTATACCCATTAACCAACCTCTCTTCATCTTTCTCTCCCCACAACCTTCCTAACTTCTGGTAACTACTACTATACTCTCCACCTCCATGATATCAACTTTTATAGCCCCTACTTACATATGAGTGAAAACATGATATTTGTCTTTCTGTGCCTTGCTTATTTCGATTGACATAATGTCTTCCAGTTCCATCCATGTTGCTGCATATGACAGGATTTTCTTTTTATAGCTCAATGATATTCCATTGTGTATGTATAGCACATGTTCTTTATCCATTGATCCGTCAGTGGACATTTAGGTTGATTCCATAACTTGGCTATTTTGAATAGTGCTGTGATAAACAAGGGAGTGCAAATATCTGTTCTGACATATTGATTTTTCTTCTTTTGGATATATATATTATATACCCAGCAGTGGGATTGCTGGATCATATGGTACTTCTATGTTTAGTTTTCCATACCGTTTTCCATAATGGCCGTCTAATTTACATTCTGATCAGCAGTGTATGAGACTTCTCTCTTCTGTGCATCCTCTTCAGCATTTGTTATTTTTTGTCTTTTTGATAATAACCGTTCTAACTGGGGCGAGATAATATGTCCTTGTGATTTTGATTTGCATTTCCCTGATGATTAATGATGTTGGGCATTTTTCATATACCTATTGGCCATTTGTATGTCTTCTTTTAAGAAATGTCTGTTCAGAGCATTTGCCCACTTTGAAATCAGATTATTTGTGTTTTTTTTGCTATTGAGTTGTTTGAGTCACTTATATATTTTGGTTGTTAATGTTTTGTCAGAGGGATAGTTTGCAGATATTTTCTCTCATTCTGTATGTTGTTGCTTCACTCTGTTGATTGTTTCCTTTGCTGTGCAGAAGCTTTTAGCTTGATATAATCCCATTTGGCTATTTCTGCTTTTGTTATCTGTGCTTTAGAGGTATTACTCAATAGTCTTTGTGCATATCAATGACCTGAGGCATTTTTCCAATGTTTTATTCTAGTAATTTTATAGTTTCAAGTCTTAACGTTTAAGTCATTCATCCGTTTTGATTTTATTTTTTCATATGGTGAGAGATAGGGGTCTAGTTTTATTCTTTTGCATATGGACATCCAATCTGTCCAAGACCATAAATCGAAGAGGCTGTCCTTTCTCCAATATGTGTTCTTGGTGTCTTTATTGAAAATGAATTGGCTGTAAATGCATGGGTATATTTTGGGATGCTGTATTCTGTTCATTTGGTCTATGTGTCTGTTTTTATTTCAGTACCATGCTTTTTTGGTTACTATAACTTTATAGTATATTTTGAAGTTAGGTAGTGTGATGCCTCCAGCTTTGTTGTTTTTGCTCAGGATTGCTTTGGTTATTCTGGGTCTTTGTGGGTCCATATGAACCTTAGGATTTTTTTTTCCCATTTCTGTGGTGAACGTCATTGGTATTTTGATAGAGATTGGATAGAGATTGCATTTAATCTGTAGATTGCTTTCAGTAGTATATTTTAACAATATTAATTCAATAATATTAATTTAATATTAATTAATTACATTTAATCTATAGATTGCTTTAGGCAGTACATTTTAACAATATTAATTCTTCCCATCCATCAATATGGGATATCTTTCCCTTTTTGTGTGTAGTTATCAATTTTTTTCAGCACTGCTTTTTAGTTTTTATTCTAGAGATCTTTCACTTCTGTGGTTAAATTTATTCCTATTTTTTGTAGCTATTTTAAATGGGATTGCTTTTTTGGTTTCTTTTTCAGATTGTTAATTATTGGCAAACAGAAATGCACCTGCTTTTTGTATGTTGATTTTGTATCCTGCAACTTTACTGAACTTGTTGATCATTTCCAGCATTTCGTGTGTGTATGTAGTCTTTAGGTTTTTCTAAATATAAGATTATATTATCTGCTAACAAGGATAATTTGATTTCTTCCTTTTCAATATGGATACCCTTTATTTCATTCTCTTGCCTGAATTGCTTTGGCTAGGACATGAAGTACTATGCTGAACATAAGTGGTAAAAGTGGGCATTCTTGTCTTGGTCTAGATCTTGGGGGAAAGGCTTTTGATTTTTTTCCTGTTCACTGTGATGACAGCTTTAGGTTTGTGATATATGGCTTTTATTATTTTGATGCATGTTCCTTCTGTAGCCAGTTTGTTGTCTTTTTATCATGGAGGGATCTTGAATTTTATGAAATGCTTTTTCAGCATCTGTTGAAGTGATCATATGGGTTTTGTCCTTGATTCTGTTACTGTAATGTATCACATTTATTTATTTGCATATGTTGAACCAAACATTTGTCCCTGGGATGTGACCCACTTGATCACTGTGAGTGATCTTTTTAATGTGTTGTTTAATTCAGTTTGCTAGTATTTTGTTGAGAATTTTTGCATCTGTGTTTGCCAGCACTATTGGCCTGTAGTTTTCTTTTATTGATGTGTTTTTGTCTGGTTTGGGTACCAGGGTAATGCTGGCCTCATAGAATGAGTTTGAAGTATTCCTCCTCTTCACTTTTTTGAAATAATTTGCATAGAATTGGTATCAGTTCTTTTTTAAATGTTTGGTGGAATTCAGCAGTGAAACCATAAGGTCCTTGGCTTTTCTTTGATGAGACACTTTTTAT